TCTTAACTAGCGCAAGGGCTGTGACATCTTCACAGTGTCCTGGTCACCTCCACGATAGCAGGAAGCCCAGAGGGCCGATGCCGCCGCAGCTGGAGCAGGGCTGCGGAGGGGAGCCCACAGACCCCACGTAGGCAGCGGCGGCCATCCTGCGAGGCACGGCCTTGGGTTCAGCGGTCGCCATCACGGAGCCGGGGCAGCTGCAGGCCGAGCTTGGTGCTGGCGAGCCCTGCTCGGCCTGCAGAGATGCAGGGGGGCTTCCCGGAAGAAGTGACATTTGAGCTGGGCCTTCAAGGAGGACAATCTTAAGCAAGGACAGCAGCAATTAGAGAGGCTGGGGATTTCTAAGAAACGGTTTTACTGGTGCAAAACGAAGACCCGCACCCTCCCTGAAGGGGCGGAGCTGCCAGGGTTCCTGCCCTTGGAGGGCACGGCAGGGACAGACAGGAGGCCAGGGCCGGCCCGCGCCGGCCCGCCCCCGGCATGGCCTCATCCTAACTCAGTGCATCTCCAGTGGCCCTGCCTCCAGATAAACTAGAGGCCAAGGAGCTGAGAGTTAAGGTATCAGCATCTATCATTTTTAGAAACACAATCCAACCATTATAAAGGCCCTCAAGGAAATGACGCGTTTTAAAAAGTTACCTGGCTGCTAATTCTATCTCGCAAATTTTATCTTCGATTACTCGCAACACGTCACAGACACTGTGTCTTTCTACCAGGCAGACGGGCCTTCTTTATTTGCATTATCACCCTCCGTCTCCCCGAGAGAGAATCGAGAGGGATGGGCGGCACGGAAGAGCGCGCAGAGCCTGCCGCTGCCGGCCTTGGGGCGCAGCCGAGGGCCCGCTGTCCCACTTTGTCTGGAACGCACACCGTTCACAGGCGGCTCCTCCTCATTACTTCCTCGTGCTCGTCACCAGTGGTCAGGGCTGTGGAGCGAGGCTGAAGGCGCCCACAATGGTCGTGAGAACATGGCTCGCTGCTTCCAGCCCAGATCCCTCTTGAGCCTCAGACCTTCATTTTCAACAGGAAATCTACCTGGATGTTTCACAACCAATCAAGACGGACCGTGAACAGAGATGCGCCCGCTGCCTCCCTGCCCAGCCGGGCTTTCCCTGGGGGCCCGCTGCCCCTCCAGCCAGCTGCCACCAGGGACTGCAGGACCGTCCGCCCTCGCCTCCGCCTCTCATCCCCGCGGCCTGTCTTGTGACGGTCCTGCCGGTCGCTCACGGGGCCCCCTGAACCTGCAGCTGGGCCTCTTTCCTGGTCCATGGAAACTCTTCAGGCCGCCGTGTTTTCAAGTGCGTCCCGCCGCCCTGTTCCCCTCGCCCCTCCTCCCCGATGCCTTGCCGCCTCCTGGCTCTTTGTGGCGCTCGCTCTCCGGTGGCTTCCTGGCACGTGTCCCTTGGCTCAGGGAGTCTCCCCTCAGCCAGGCACGCCTCACCTTTTGTTAAATGCAACCGTGAATTATAAATGTCAGTTACTGGGCTTTTTGTTTCTCTAAGTTCTCTTTTCACATCTATAAGAGTTTTCTTCTTTACTTCTCTGTCCCTTTTTAGTGCTATCAGACCTTTATTTTCTGTCTTTAAGCACGGTAAGCATTATGGGTTGAATTGTGTCGTCCCCTCGTCCCGATACAAGGGCTAACCTCCAGTACCTGAGACTGACCTTGTTTGGAGATGGGACGGTGGCAGAGGCAACTGCAGCCACATGCCAAGCAACGGCCACACACATCACCGGCCCGCATGGTTGCAGTGGGGCTGTACACCACCGGGCGGCGAGCGGCCCGGGCCTCCGGACTCACGGAGCCCCACCCACCGCTCCTACTGCGGCCTCGCTCGCTGGGGTGGTCACCTGGCCCCGAGGATGCAGAACCAGCATCTGCCCCCGCGAGGGGTGAGCAGGGCCGAGTGCCGTCTTCCACTGTGAGTACGCACGTCCACCTACGCAGGCCAAGGGGGCGTTTAACTTCTGCCTAGGACATGGCGCTCCTGTGCATTAAAATGATGATGGAAGCATTCCCGGTTGTATATTAGTTGCTAGTGATTTATGTGATAAACTGCATCTCATTTCTATGACTGACTTTTATAAACACCGTTAGTTTTGCCTGTTATCTGTCACGTGGCCAGTAGAGGGGGCAAGTGAGCATTACCTGTGGATTTGATATTTGCATTCTCTTATAGGTAACTTATCTGACAGTTTTAAAATTTTTATTGTAGTTGAGCAAAACTTTTTGACGGATACATTAAAAAGGTCACTGAAATGTGCATCAGGACTTTGGAAAAAAGTAAAGCTTTTTTCTGTAATTATTCTACTAGTGTTAGGGCTCTTGAAAACCACTATTGAAATATTTTTCCCCCCCAGAGGCAAATAAATATACAAAAAAATGAGGCACCTTAATACTCTTATAGATGTCCTCTCTTCACAATTTAGACCCTTTCCTTGAAATAAACTATTTTGGGGAAGAACCATTTCTTCTTAATGGAGTGAGCACCAAAGAAACTGCATGAGATTGTGTTTAAGAAAAAAAGTGGAGTGTGTGCACATCTGATGCTCAGAAAACACTGCCATCTTCGGCGGACGGCCCCACGCAGGGCCGGGGGGGAACAGAAGCGGCGGGGAGCACTTTCATACTCTTGAAGGCAAACATTACTTCTTTTTATGCATAACTATTTATATTTCTAATAATACCCTTCAAAAACTATGTATAATTCTTCAAAAACACGTTTTATACATGTAATCCATAATCAAGCCTAATTTCCCATAGGAAGGTTTTTTTTTTTTTTCTAAGTATCAAGTCAGTCCGATGGGAACACCCAAAGGGGATCTTGTGCTTTATTTTCTTTTTTTAAATTCTCTGACATAAGTGATTTTATTTATGTTAACCTATAACCAAGAGAGATAATATATCTTAATGTAAATAGCACACATGACATTTTTATCTCTCTTATTTTAAAAGGTTTCTCAACAATTAAGATAAAGGTTTTATAAAGTTAGATTAAACACAGATTAATCTAGATGGCACTAAGCCACTTTCAAAAAGAAATTCATTCTAGGAGGAAAACTGAGTTTTTAGTAGAATGGTTAGGAAGAGACTAGACACACTTTGAACAAGCTATGGAATTTGGATTCTCTACAGTCTTGTTGAAACGAGTTTAGGAACATTTCAGGTAAGTTTGTAACTCATAAACAAACCCAGCTCTGAATCTCTGATGCTGTTAGTCAAAGGAAGGACTTTATTGATAGACCAGTCATCACTGACGTCTGCCCACAAAAAGAAAATGTTTAGCACTTTTTTTCCTCTGGGCAGAAAACAGGACACAGAATCACAGACAAAAATATTATCAGGCTAACCCACTCATCTATTGTTTTAGAATTTTATCCACTGGCTTTTTAAAGTTATGATTTGTATCTTGACCTTTTAGGCATTTTTTTAATGAGATGATAAACTATTCCATAAAAATATTAGAGAATAAAAATATTTAAAAATCAAACAGCATTTGAGATAATTTCTTTATAAAAGGACAGTTATATAAACCAAAATATTCCTAAAAATTCATGGAATTCATGATGAAATCTTAAAAAAAAATAATTACTTGGGTATTTCCCGTCTCTAGTAAATAAAAAGCTTTTCCTCCCAAAGTCTTTAAGGTTACATATTATATACAATGTGGCTTTAAAAAAACAAACGTTCTTTAGCAGATGCTATGCTGGTGTTTGGCAGCACAAAATGTAAGTTTCTGTAAAAAACGACCTGTCCTCTCCAGCCGTCTTTCAGGCCTGATTCCCCACTGAGCGCCCTGGTAAGTCAGGAGGAGCGCGTGCACCAGGCACCTTTCAACGGACGGGGCCGGAGCGAGCGCGGCAGCCCCCTGAGGGGCCGCAGCAGCAGGGGAGGGACCAGCCCACGGGGCTCTTCCCTCGGGGCTACCCAGACACACCGCTGTGCCTCCCTGCCAGGCCGGAGCCACACGGCTGCAAGGAGGGAGGGAGGGAGATGGTTGTCTCAGAGAAGCCCGTGCTGTCCGGGCTCTGTCCCGACGCCTGCACTTACCCTGTCGGCTCCAAACACGCCTGGCAATGCAGGGGAAATGGCTGTTTTCCAGGAAAGGAAACTGCCTGAAAACACATCTGGCAAAGGGCTTTTTCTCCCTCTTTGGCAGGCAGACCCTTATTCCAACAAAATGTACATTTCCTAACCTTCCACACGGTGGACCCTATGGAGCCCATGTCCCATTCTAAGGGGACATTGAGTTCGTTCTCTGAATACCTTGTAGGTCAAATGCTATGTATATTCTATCGCAACGGGGACAGGAAACTGCCAGCCTAAGCATCATACTTCATTTCAGAAGCTGTTTGAATTCTCAAAGGTTCAGCACACCCTTCTGGCTGCCCCTAGTGGGTGACAGTTAGAGGCAAAAGAAGGAGAAAAAGGCTGTTACAGCCAGGAAACTGAAAACGCAGCTCCGAGGCGCACACAAAGCTCCCCGGGTGCGCTGGGCACCCGGCTGGGGCTGCAGAGGCTTTCCCAGGCCAGAGGGTGACCCGCTGCCTCGTCGGCACCGCCCGGTGACCCCCGCGAGATCTGCGCCCACTCGGACGCCGCGGGGCCAGGAGATGGGAGCAGGTCAGGGCGGGCCCCCTGGTGACCCGGTGGCTCCAGCTCAGGGTGACCAAGGCCACAGAAAGTCTTGATCAGTAAAATGGACCCTGGGGATGTGTGACGGTGCCACGCAGAGGGGGCGGCCGACATGCGGGGCATCTCGTCCCCTCCAAGGAAGGCTGCGCAGGCCTTGAAGTCGGGGTAACACCGCTGCTTTAAAGCCACCAGCCCGCGTGCCAAAGACAGGCACAGGTGCGTGCTCTGCCCCCCCCACCCCCCACCCAAGCCGGGCCCCACACCTGTGGCCGGGCTGAGGTTTACCTCCCGGGGTTGCCTCTGTGTGTTCACACTGACACTTCTTTCTGTCTTCACGGTCACTTTAAGCGGCTTTTCCTTTGGTGCTTTTTCAAATCCCAGGGCTGGGAATTCTCTCTCAAGGCTGCCAGATGCACGAGCAGCTGATCTGCAGAGAGGCAACACCCGGTTTTTGTGAACGGCTCTGGGAGGTTTGGGGGCCTTCAGGCTGGCCCCACGCCCTCCGAAAGGCTGAAGCGGAGATCCGCCCTGATCGTCACAATAGAGTCACAAGGCAGAGGGCCTGCTTTCAGAAAGCTGGACTTTTTTTTTTTTTTTTTTTGGTGAGTTGTGCCTTCTTCTTCAGTTCTCATTCACTATTGCACACGATTTTGGGGGGGGGGAAAGTAGTAAAAGTAACCTTTTCTCTAACAAGTGTATGTCCGGGGAACCCGCTCATGGCCTTGCATGCACTCCGAATGTTACTTGTACGGAAGCGTGTGGACTGCTTTCACTGAGTCTGAGGCCTGGCTGGGAGGGAGGCGGACAAGGTGTTCCTGTGGCCCCTGCTTGCGCCAGTGCGCCACGTGCCCAGAGTCCCGCATGTGCCCAACTGTCGGCCAAGAGCCACACCTCGACGCCATGTCCCAGCCTCGCTTCTCAGGGTAGGTGTTTCAGCGCCAAGAATGCCTCCTCTGGCGATGCAGCACATTCCCGAAACTGGGGTCACCCTGGCCACGTGGGCCCCCCCGGGCACCAGGTCCGAGGCTGGCGGGCTGCGGGGACGTGACAAGGGCAGGCATGCTGTGCCGGGCGACACGGCCCACATCCGGAGCATGTGCTCGCAGATGAGATGGGAAAAGACTCCGGCCCAGCCCTGGCCAGGTGGCTCCGTTGGCTGTGGCATGATCTGTGTTCCAAAATGCGGTTTGATTTGCGGTCAGGAGTGTATGGGAAGCAGCCGATCAATATTTCTCTCTCTTTCCTCCCCATCTCTCTAAAAATTAATAAATATATCCTCAGGTGAAGATTTAAAAAATCTTTAAAGAAATAATTTTTAAAAATACAAAACTATGGCACAAAATGTGCAACGGTTGCCAGAGGCAACCTCCCCGAGCGTGCCCGAGTGCTTCCCGTGCGCCTCGCAGTTGGATGCGGGCTCCCCGACATCCACACCCGTCCAGCATGCTTACTAGGATGTCAACGGCTCAGAAAGCAATACCCCTTCTCCCTGGACCAGGTGATCCGTCCCCTCATCTGTCCCACCAGGCACGGGACAGTAAGGTGCATGACCCACTGGACAATGGTCGAAGCCATTGGGCCACCTCAGAAACTCCGGCCGTCCGGGCTCTGTGCTGATTTAAGAGTGGTGTCTTCTGGTTGCTGACTCTGAGACGCCGTTCAGACGGGCAGAAGTCCGAGAGCCACATGGACCGCCCAGGAGGACCGGCTTCCAGTGACGGAGGTTGAGCCCATTCCTGATCCAGGTAAGAGAAGGTCTCCATCTCCACGGGCGCATGGGCATCCCCGAGGGTTGGGGGGCCTCAGCCAGGGACACAGCCTTTGGCTCCCCAGGGTGAGCTGTGGCCGAGGGGCCTTTGTCCAAGGTCCTGGAGATGCAGACCGCCTTGCTCGGGGAGGCTGAAGGCCTGGTCTTTTTGATGCCCTCAGCAGATGGTGAACAAAGGCTCTGCAGCGCAGCCAGTGGCACGCGCTCCGGGGACAGAGACCTCCCAGTACAAGGCGAGTCTGGGCCGGGGCCCGGGGTGACAGCTGGCCCCTGGCACAACCCCAGCCCCCGGCTCCCACCCCAACCTGCCCTCTCCCTCCTCCTAGGGGTCCTCTTGGTGCCCCGCGGGGCCGCAGGGTGCTTGCAGGTCCGCCTGCCTTCCCCGGTGGCCATGAGTGGGTGGGCAGCCTGACCCTGCCTGAGTGGGAGGTCCTTCTCCACTGGGGCCGCTGACCCAGCACGTCCTGCTGGCCTTGCACTTCAGACCCAGAGCCAAATGGCACTTTCTCCTTGGCCAATGCTCCTGCCCGTCACAAGTCACTCCCCCTGGGCAGGCCCTGCTTCTCAGTTCCCTAAGAAGCTGGGCTATGGTCGGAGGCATGGGAGAGGGCAGTTCCCACGGCCAGGCCCGCAGACCAGCCGCGCCACCCCGCCCCGCCCCGCGCCGCCCCTGTGGGCCTCCCCGAGGCTCTACCTCTGGGGTGGCCAGGCGGCAGCCCACGGTCCGTTGTGAATGGCCAGTGAGCTGGGAATGACCTTCACATTTCTAAGTGGTTAAAGAAAATCCAGGAAAGGATACTTCATGATACATGGGAACCAGAAGAAATTCAAATTTCAGCGTCTGCATGGCTGGTACAAAGTAAGACGTCCACTATTCCACCCTTCGCAGAAACAGTGCGCTGGCCCCTGGCCGGCCCAGAGCCCCGCCCCGGCTCTCTGCTCACGGTTTCCGTTCAGGGGGCAGACAGGCACAGCACCCATGCTTGCGGCCTGCAGGAACAGGGCCCCCCGTCCCAGCCTGCGTGGCCCCCTGCAGAAAGCAACCGGTGCTGCTTCACTCAGACAAGGAACGACGAGGCCCGTCCGAGGACCGGTCGGATAGGGATGCGGCGCTGCACACCCGTGACAGCCGGGAGATCCGGGGAAAAATACCTCTGATTTCTGTGGATGAGAACGCCACCGACCTGAGCTGCCGCTGCGACCTACTCGCAGTTCAAGGAAAAGCGGCGTTTCAGTTCGAGCTTGGTGAGAAACAAGCACCTTTTCCCACCAAAGTTCATGGCCTTCAGGGGATGAACTCTGCCCCAGAAGTTACCTAGGAACCAGCCCATGAGCAGGAGGAATGTTCTTAAATAAAGGTCTAGTGAAATCTCTTGGAAACACTTCCCAGGAGAACTGAACTCACCATACAATTCCACATTCCCCCAAGAAGTGAATCATAATTATGTACTCCCATGTCGACGTAAGAAGTCCAGACCTGCACAGAACTTTTATGAGTTTGAGGCAAACTGATGACACTTGCTGGGAAGCAAAATCGCAATGGACTGAGAGACTGCTCTGGAGAGTGGCAGCTTTGCAGCTTTTTCTAAAAAGAAATATTTATTTATTTATTTTTAGAGAGGGGGGAAGGGAGGGTGAAAGAGAGGGAGAGAAACGTCAATGTGCGAGAGAAACAGTGATCGGCTGTCTCTTGCACCCCAGGCTCGTGCCCTGACCGGGAATGCAACCAGCAAGGTTTGGGGTCACGCACTGACGCCCAGCCAACCAAGCCACACCAGCCAGGGTTCGCAGCTTGTCTCAGCTGTCAGAGTCGACGGGGCGAGTGAAGGGGGCGCGCTACGCGAATCCCATGGGGGGCAGGCTGGGGAGGTGGGGGAAAGCAAAGCGGGGAAACCTCTGGGACTGGACACAAAGTAAAAAGGACAGGTACGCCTTTCACGCGGGTGGGGGTGGGAGGGTTAGTAAGTAACCGCGCCGAATCAGAGATGGCATTCCGGGATGAGGGAACAGCGAGATCTGCGGCCTCTCGCTCGGCGGGGCGGGGGGGCTGCCCAAGCAGTCTGGGGAGATCCCTCCGCTTTTGCAAAGGGACAGGGACCCTCTTAGACATGAGAGGACAGCCGCCTTTGGGCAGGACCACCACTGGGGCCCACTCTCAGTAGGAATTTGTGCAGACCCATCTTTGTGGCTGCTTCTGGTCTCAGAGTCTGTGAGGCCACCACGGAGGACCCTCGCCCCGCCCCTGAACGTGTCAGGTCCAGTGTGTGGCCCCTTAGTCAGGTGGCTGATCTCGCATGACACGGACGGACACCGGTGGCCGCCAGGTCCCAGCCACTGAGGGCGAGGAGCAGGCCCCGTGCCCTGAGGTGACGCCTGGGACCGCTTCCCTGCCCTGTGCCCCAGCTGGGCGGCAGCAGACTGTTCTCCCACAAGTGCTCCGTGTTACTTACTAAGGAGGCCACCCGGAGGGCTTGCGGGGCCACGGGACTGACACAGGGAAGTCCGGTCAGCTAGTGCGGCTCCTGATGTTCACACGTGAGGACTTCGGCACTTAATCAAAAAGGGGAGGTGATCTGTCTGAGTTCAGGGTCGAATGGGATGGATGTAGCTGATCCTGGAAAGTACATTACAAGGCGAGAGGATGCGGGCAAATCCTGGTCTACAAAAGGAGTTTGTGTGCTCCTCTCTCCACACCCTCTCAGCAAGCCCTGACTCCCCTGTCGACTGTAATTTAAGGGACCCTTCATCAGTCTATTTTAGGTTTATTTTGAATATGGAAGTGGGTATTCTGTTGAAAAGATTAGATGTCAGAGCTCGGAAGCCGACCTCCCTAACGTGATTTAATAAATCTCAACCGTCCTATCAAACGGTCTGAAAATGGAAACTCTGCCCTCAGCTGACAGTTCAGAAATCAAGGAACCCCCGAGCCTGCCTTCCCTCTTTGCAACAGCAGAATTTACGAGAGCAAGGCTTCTTCCTCTTTGTTTGTAATAACGAAAATAAACCAAAGTCCTGACATATTTGTAGCATTTCTATTCCTAAAGGAAAAAACAGGAACCTTCATTGTGCTTTCAAGTTATTGCTCAGCTCTGGGACCAGCTGCGCTCGGCCGGGGGCTCAGACGGCAGCGCAGGGCTCTCGAGGAAACACCCAGCTGGGGTGTGCCTCCCAAATGCCCAGGGGCTGGGAGCGCGCTTCCCAGAGGGCTTCTGCGGCGCAGCCCGGGCTGGGAGGCACGCACGGGGCTGGGGTTTTTCCTGTTGCCTGGCTGCTGACCCCCTACAGGAAGATATCGGACAAGCCAGGAGGGCGGAGCAGCTCGCTGCACATGTCTGGCTGCTCTTATCAACTTATCATATAAGGGAAGGAGGGTGATTGATTCGGATCCTGACACGGCAGAATCGGGGGGGCAGAGAAACAAAGAAGCATCAACTCTGATCGGGAGGCAAACGCAGCCGTCCCCAGTGAGCAGCCTGACAGCCTCCCTGCAGCAGCCTAACAGCTCACGGCAGGACAGACCCCGAGCCTGCCGCCGGGAAGTGGGGACAGGCTTCCATGCGCGGACCTTGACTGGGCGGCTGAGCCCTGCGTCTGCGAGCGGCGCGGCGGACCGGCTCCCATGCGCCCCGGAGCCTGCTGAGCGGCCGCCTCGCTGCCCCAGAGGGAAAGAATGTGGCGGGTTGTTTTTTTTGCCCTGGGCTGGGACCTGGCCCTGGCTGCCGCCTACAGCAGCTTTCGGAGGAGCATGGACGGCGTCGGGAGGAGGCAGTACCAGGTGCAGCACGGCGCCTGCAGCTACACGTTCCTGCTGCCCGAGGCAGACAACTGCCGCACGCCCGCCGGCCCCTACGTGTCCAATGCGGTGCAGAGGGACGCGCCGCTGGACTACGACGACTCGGTGCAGAGGCTGCAGGCGCTGGAAAGCATCATGGAGAACAACACCCAGTGGCTCATGAAGGTAGGGGGGCGCCCGAGGGGCGAGCACGGGGAAGGACGGCTCCTGCCCTCGCCCGGGTGGGGGCTGGCGCGTGGGGCAGGGGGAGGCGTGATGTGAAAATAGTGCCAGGGCGGCGGACAGAGAGCGAGCCCCGCAGTGGGGAAGCTTCCGAACGACGCGGAGGGGCACGCAGGCAGCCGGCCCCCGGCTGCAGCCTGGAGGGGGGCCGGAGCGGCAGCCCCGAGCCAGGAAAAACGCGGCAATCCTGTTAATTACGGATACATAACGGCGGAGGAAAAGGCTTTACCAATTTCCTGAATTCATTTACTAAAATAGACCATGGCCCTTAGCAAAGGAGAGGAAATTAAATAAAGCAGCTCTTCTGTTCCTCAGAACCCCAGGGCTCCCCCTGCCCCCCGCCCAGGGCTGTCACTGGTGGAAGGGTTAGCTCTCCCAGGGTCGGGGGCTGCAGTGCCGCAGCCCCTGCAGGGCCCGCGCTGGCTTTGAAGGGGACGCGTGGGGGACGGGGCACGGGGCGGGCGGGCTGCGCCGATGCTGGGACGAGGCGGCCGGGCTCTCAGGTCGACCCAGGAGCTGTTCGGGCACAACCCCGACCTCCGGGCGTCTGACTTTGCGTGGACTACACGTATTCACAGGAGGGTCATCAGGGGTGAGAATGCTTTCCACCGCCTGCTTGCAGGCTGGAGGATGTGACTATTCAAAGCCACACAGGAACTTTAACAAGCTGCTTCGCCTCATTCACAACTTTGCCCCAGAAGAGTGTGATTACGATCAGTCTTTCATGCCACCGTGAACTTTCTGTTAGGACACCTCCTCTGAATCTCAGAACAGGTCTGGGCTCCTGATCTGCATTTCTCATTAACTCTGCTGTCTTCAGAGGGGAGAGGACTGCGTTCGCCACAGAGCCCGAGCCTGAATGAATGAGCGCTGTTGCGCCGCATTCACGGGGCAGGAGGGGTCGCTTCAGATCAAAGAACAGAAACCACAGAAACCTGCCTGAGAGGCCAACCTGGCCCATAAAACTCATTAGTGATACCTCTCTAAGCACTGTCCCTTTGGGTAATTTTCCAGTTGGTTCCTCTCTTTTCCTGAGAATGCCCCTGCCGTCTGCTCTGTTTAAACCTTCTCACACTCACAGGGGTGTGAGGAATAACGTTAAACTGGCTCACAGTATGCGCAATGCAGGTTCAAGTATTTGGGAGACAAACCTGCCTTCTCGATTCCTGCCCGTCCCTGTACCCCCCGCCAACTGTCCCGCCAGCCTGATCGCGCTCGGGCCAGGAGCATCCTCAGGACTCACAGTGCAGGGCCAGCGGCCACGGGCAGGGAGGGAGAACTACCCGCCCCTCTAGTCAACACTCTAATCTGCCGGCTGGTAAGTCATCTTCTGAGATAAACAGCCTGGAAACGTAACAGAATGTTTTGCCCAGTCCAAGGCTGCTAAACGGCATTTGTTAATGAGGCCCACATGAGGTCCACCTGAAACTCCAGAAGCCAGGCTCGAATTTCTTCCTTAGACAAACAGCCCATTCTCTGGGACCTTTGAGACTCTGTTTAAAGAAGGAAAAGGACAAGGAAATCTACATTATGTGACCCACATTTTTTTCCTTCCCAGGTTGAATGAGTAAATATTTGAACAGTGGCACAGTGGTATTTCTGAATTCCTTCATTAGCTACCTGGCTAACTATCACCAAGAATGACTTAATGTTTATCTTTGCTCCGGCCCAGCACCTGCTCCCCGGCCCAGCGGGGTGCCGTGCACCTGAGAAAGTCTGTTTGCATTCTCCCTCGGTTTACCAGCTTCTGGTTTGGGAAAAGCAGCAAAAGAGCAAACAGGATCCCATGCAGAGCGACTGCGTGTAGGCGCTCTGTTTTACCCTTCTGTGTTTTGTCACCTGCGATAATAGACACTGCTCGTCTCCTAAGGGAGGACACAGTATAGAATGGGGTGACAGATAAGCCAGCGATGAAAGGGCCCGCATGCTCTCACACCTGCTGACAGGTCACCACAGAAAGAAAAAGCACCCTCTGCGCGTTTCATTTCCCACACTTCCTTTCCTTTAGAGACGTTTATTTATGTATTTTCATTTCCATATTTCCTTTCTCTCCCTGACCAATACTGAAAATGGGGGCGGGGGGAGCAGTGAAGGGAGAGACCTTTAAGCTTTCAAGAAAACTCATCAGGAAGGAGACCCAGTCCCAGTCTCTGGTGAGTCTCAGGGCAGATGACAAGGTTTCATCTCCTGAGCGGTCGGTGCCGCCTCGGGACTTGGACTTAGAAAGCTGATTTGCACTTCAGCAGAGATGCCACTCTGCCACTGTCCCCTGCCGGGCAAGGGGAGTGCCGCCTCGTGAACCAGGGTGGGGGCATGGGTGAGCAGTGCGGGGCGGCTGGCGCGGCGGCCGAGTGGGCGGAGATGCCCTCAGAGCGGGTGCTCGCCAAGCGCCGCGGCGCCCCGCGGATCTGCTAGGGCGCTACGCCTCTGCCTCAGATGCTGAGCTTGCTTCATGGAGACCGGTGAGCAGCCTAATACAGTGGGTGCTGCCTTGCTAGGCAGCCACATGTTTTCCCCCCGACGCAGGAAACAGGGAACGGAAATAAACAACTCTTTCACGCTGATGAACACCTTCCATTTGTAAACAACTGCGAAGTCCATTGTGCTCAGACACAGGCTGTTTTGAAAAATACAGCGAATGCCTGTGAACTTGAGGCGGACACTTCCTCGGTCCCTTCACAGGGTTTTTTTTAGGACAGAAGCACAGGCTGGAAACTGCTAACCTGAATTCAGATCCTTTGCTTCCTTTAAACCTAAGATCTGAGGACTTTTAATGAGGTATGAGAGCTGTTCCTCGTCAGTCGCTCTGCGGGGACTAGGTGGTTTTGCTCCTGAAAACACAACTGCTGTCCACGGGAGGGGCTGGGGGCGAGGCTCGCCTGCACTGCAGCCCCCGCCCCCGCCCCCGCCCCCGCCCGGCCGCCTGTGAGCATGTGAGGGTGTGGGTGTGCGTGTGTGAGCGTGTGGATGTGTGTGAGTGCGCGCTCATCATGTGCGGCTGCAAAACACCCCCGTGCTTGGTTTCTTAGTGGAAAGAACCACCCCCCACCCCCACAGCTCAGGGCCCCGGCACCCGTGGGGAGCATCTGTCGCGTCCTGAATCACGAGATGTGGCTGTTCAGTGTCCGAAGCAAACTGGCTGTGTTCAGACAAGCCGATTAACCCCTCTATATTAGCAACATATGGCAAGGGATGGACATGCGATTAAAGTTTCACTATGGTAGGGCAAGTACAATGTATTTAACTTTAGAAAATGCAAGTATAATACAATGTTTACTATATTAAGCAAGACACGGAGCACAGTATATAAACTATACTAAGTGCTGACTCCGGGCGGCATAGGAGCATACACGCAGGGTGTGCTCTTGGTGGCCTAGCGGCCCGCTGATTACACGGGGGCGGGGCCGTACTGGTTTAACTCCGTAGGTGCCGCTACAAGGGCCAGGAAACAGGCCCGGGCACACAGCTTCCAGGATAGCTTACTCTCCGTTTAGAAACTAGATGTTCCTCCCTTGACTTGAATAAAGCAGACAGCAAGGTCCTTCTCCTGAACTGCCCTAGAAGTCTTCTGATTGGACCAGAGCCACACGAGCCACACCGTGTCCCTGATAGGGAGCAAGGAGGCGGCCCAGAAAGACCTGCCCTTTCCACACCTCGGCTCACAGCCTCAGCTCCACAACACAAGCGTGGCACTGTCGCGCCTGTCCGGCCGTCACCTGCGGGCTCGGGCCAGGTGGGCACCAGGGTGCGTTGCAGTGCCCAAGTCTTGCACGGTTACTGCAGAGAAAAGCAAACACAGAGCAGCACGCGTGTCCCTGCCTCGGCCCAAGCCAGGACTTCCCCAGGGGGCCGGCCGGACTGTGGACTGTTGCCGAGAAGTGCAGATGAATACAAATAGAGTGTTATTTCTTAGTTCCTCAGCGTCATTTGAGTAAAAACCTATCTGTCCGTCCCACCACCGTGGGGGGTTTTCCGTCACGACAGGTGTCATTAAGGCTCATTCCTTTGTCCCACAAATATTTACGGAAGGCCCGTGCGTGTCTGGGCAGGGGCTGGGCCTGAGCCGGCGAGGCAGAATGACTGAGGGTCTGGCCCCGGCAGGGGACGCCCTGCATTCTGGCACCACATTCTTGTTATAACACGCGTGACAGAAGGTGGCAAGCACTGCACAAAATGATGAATGAGCGAGGGGCAGAGAGCCAGGGGCGGGGGCGGGGGGTGAGCCAGCTGCTCTCCACGCTGAAGCCGCTTCTGCGAAAGGAAACCCAATTCAAACCGTCTCCGGATGCTCGTTCTTCCTGATTACAGAGTAACGCACGGCCACAGGGGAAGGCGGAGTGTGCTCGGGATGCACAGAAACACTACGCATGCGCCCACCTTTCTGAAATAACCACCCTCAGTTCTTCCTGCCTGTATGTGCCTCCTGGTGTGTGATTAGTTCTAAACGTGCTGCACACACTCTAATATCGTATACACCTATAGCTACCTGACAACTTATACATTTTAATTGAGAGTAAAAAGGGAAGTGGGTCTGAGAGGCTGAGGACCTTGGTGACATGCAGGCACTAACAGGAGCACCGCCCCCCGGACCCCGGGCTCAGCACGACCCCGGATCCCTGACCCTGCAGCAGCCTTGGCGCCGGACAGCTGCTGAGCTGACGGCCTGGGCACCAGGTACCAGGTGTGCACAGGTGAGAGGTGCCACCCATTTGAGAGGGTGGGGAGGGCACCAGAGCTACTGAGAACAAAAAGCAACGGGGAACGTCTTAGGCGTGAAATAATCACATAAATTCCACCTGGCAGTTCGGAGAAGTAAAGACCAATTACATGCTGACAAGAGAGGACGACAGACCACACCTCGGGTAACAGTCCTCTTCTGGATGCTGACTGAGGGCGGCCTCTGAATGTGACAGCCACTGGAAAGTCCCGGCCGGTGAAGTTCA